ACGTCCGCTTGATTTCACGAGGTTGCACTCTCGCCTCGTGCATTCGCCCCAACTTGCCGCCACCATGGCGCAGTGTATTCGACGCACGTGAAGCACGTCGCGCTTCTTCAGTGTTTCCTGATTGCTCGGAGAGTTGTGGGGTCACCGTTCAGCAAAGCGTATAGTGAGTGAGTGCTCGCTTGTATACGCGCTCTTTTGCGAGGCTTCGAAATTTCCCGCTGTCGTCGCGTCGAAACAAGTGTGTTACGTTTCGCGGTTTGGGCGAGCCGCGTTTTGTCTGGCTTCGCGGGATAACATGCGCCACTTAGTCATTTTGGCGGTTCCTTTTCTTTCGCGAGATAAATGCTTCCTTATGGCATCCCCTCGAAACGGTAGGGGCTCCGCCGACAGTCGCGACAGGAAAAGCAATATCGAGTCGGCCGCCACACTACTACTCGAGAACGGAGGTTTTTATCGCAAGTAGCACGAATTCATCCTTTACGTTTCAGCATACCATGTAACCACCACCATGTTCATACATAAGACAAAGGGATTCGTTTGTTTGTTTGTTTGTTTGTTTGTTTGTTTGTTTGTTTGTTTGTTTGTTTGTTTGTTTGTTTGTTTGTTTGTTTGTTTGTTTGTTTGTTTGTTTGTTTGTTTGTTTGTTTGTTTGCGTGGAATGTCAACAGCTTAGGGTGGTGAACATAACAAACGCAGTGAGGCTCTTTACAGCGCATGAAGAAGCAGATCGTATTTCCCGCTATAATCCTCGTGCATAACAACCTGGATGCTAAGGCACTCAAATAAATGGTTTCAAAGGCTATGATACTTAGGGAAAATGATCCCACTTACTTGACCTCGTTGACACTGTACCTATGTATACAATGCTTATGTTAAACACACACACACCCGCAGACACACAAACGCGCGCGCGCGCGTAGATAATCTTTCGCTTTCTCAACTTTGAAGGAAACTAAATCCTAGCTCCGTCGCTATAAGCACAATGCAAGGAAACAGAACTCAGTAAATTCGGGAATGTTAATCGTATGATATGCTCACCAGTTAGCCGTGATAACTTCGCAAAATAGAGTCAAAAATAAAAAAGTGAGAACTATTTAGTCGCGAGTGCCTGTGATGAGGCTCTGTATACAGGCTTGTGTAAACGGCCGTATACTGCAAGGTAGTGCGGAAATGCTACCATATAGCTTCGTGCGTCAGCTAAGCGATCGGCGGCCCCTTGATGCAGTAGCGCAAGCGCCCTCAGCCCCGACTCAGAGCAAGCACACTGCGCTGATTCAGCCAGTTTGCCACGGATGTAGTATTGATCGGTGTATAGGGCTTAACGTACGAAAACGAACGGCTGTAGTAATTTACAAGCACGCGCACAATGTATTAACCAAACGGCAATATGCTCTCTTGTGGATCTGGAATGCGTTGTACGTCATCGGTGCACGCCTTGCATGCGTTTGTTCTTTCAAAGGAGGCAAGTTTTATCGAGATGATAATAATAATAATAATAATAATAATAATAATAATAATAATAATAAAGTATTAATACTATTAATCATCTTATGAATAAAAGTAGATTACAGCCTGTGAACTATGTGTCTATGGTACGGCTATAGTGAGCAACAAGAAATTCATGGCTACGGTGACGTAGAGCATTCGGTCACTTCCGTTAGGTCAAGTGTTTATATGCAATTACTGTGGTGAATTTCGCCGTACAATTCTACCTTTGTGCCGACATTAAAAGGAAGCAAATTGAACAGTCATGACAAGTTTTAAAACATATATATATATGTTCGGTTAAAGATAATACTTTAACTGAGTTACAAACACTACCCTTTGAGCATAACGATGATGTTAGCAGAACAACTATAACTTGGAAGGCGGAAGGGAATATGGCGTCACCTGGCGCTGTTCGCACGCATTGTTTTGTCGTTCACTTGCCACACTTCGCTTCTCGATGGACACCACAACCATTTATGAGGGAAGCAACATCTAGGCCTCTTACATTGGCCGCTGTGAACGCCTGTACAGTGCAAGGGCCGTTGCGCAATGCCCACTGCACCATAATACACCTTATTGCCAAGTATATATGGAGAAGCACCGACAATACTTCTGTAAGGCAGTGCGAGCCACTTACGTGGCGGCCCATTTTGTTGGTGATGTGATTTGTGATGATGAGGATGACGTTGATGATAAATCGCTGCTCAGGTATTTGCAGTAAGTGTGCAGCTGTAAGCTCATTACGAAATTCGTGGGCGTGACGCTAATTACGCATACCTACTGAAACTCGCACAATGTATCATCTGACTTTATCATCCATCTTGGAATGTAATCGGCACACATTGAACTAAGTTCTGCAAATTTAACTCTTTTGAAGGACAGTGAGTTTATCTATCTATCTGTCTATCTATCTATCTATCTATCTATCTATCTATCTATCTATCTATCTGGAACTTCGTTATCTTTTGTATTCAGTGTCCGATTCATTTCATTTGTGCAGACGAGCGGCAAATATGACACTGCTGGCGGTGATCGCTTCATGGGACTGGCGATTGTTGACAACTACGGTGGTATTTCTGGTCACTTATTACGTGGTGCGCTTCTACCACAAGGTTTCCCAATACCCGAAAGGACCATTCCCGCTGCCTATCGTCGGAAACCTCTTGAGTAAGTGAATCAAATTACAGGAGATGCAAGGAGTACCGATGCTGTGCAGATGATGCTTGCATAAAGGAAATAAGCAAGGATGTGTGCCGTTTTCGTTATGCTTAGAGCAGCGCTGTCATGCCAGCCGTTTGTCCGACTCGCAATGTAGACAAGAAACGATTATCATAATTTCAGGCACCGCACCATAATTAACCCAAATTAAGCCTATTTCAGCAATGTAAATTCGAATGAGCTAAGCATAATTAGAAAATAGGTCAGACTAATTATCTCCAGTATACATAGTCGATGTCGATTTGAGATTGTGGTGTGCCTAGACATGCCTGATGTGCCGAGTTAGGCATAATTAGGACTAATTAGATTTAAATGGTATTTGTGTTCATTAGACTAATTAGGTCGTTCTGCTTGTGTTCAATTTGAAATGTTTATGTTTATTTCAAGTTTATTTGTTTATGAGACTATAATGTTTATAATGTTTATGAGACTATAATGACAATGTTTATTTGAGTTTATGAGACTATAATTAAACGTAATTTTTCTGTAATCAAGTACACGTTGACTTGAAATGGAAGCTAATCAATACAGCCTCAAATATGCGCATTTCGTAGTTAAGCTAATTAGTTTAATTAGGCTGTAGGTGTCGTGATTTCAAAGCGATACACAATCAAACCCGATTGATACCCAGTCAATCTAAGTACTCACGATTTACTAAGTGACCACGCGAACACTTCGTGCGTCGGGGCGTGAAGTGCTTGTGATCAAGCCAAGACCCGTCGGGTGCCGGCCAACTCTGCTCTGCCACAGTGTCGAGCGACTCAGTGCAACCTGAGCAAACTTTCTCCACCTGTGCGAGAAAACAGACAGACAGACACAGAACTTTATGGGGTCCTGAGAAACGCCACTCTTTTAGAGCAACGTCGCGGGCCACTCCCTCGAACGAGGAGGCCTAGCCTCACCGCTTCAATGGTATTTTTCGGGCGATTTTCCCGCGTTGCCTTGTTCCTTTCTATGCAGCAAGTGTCACTGAAAAAAAGTTTTACTTTTTTGTACTCATAAAATGAAGAAAATGGCCAAGTTACGGCATTTTACAGTCAAATTTTTTCACTCCACGTGGAAAAACCCAAGCGCATTCGCACAAAGCTCCCGCCGGGTACGAATTCGCGCTCGTGCATGCGAGAATGCTATCTCGTATCGTTGCAACTATACAAACAGCAGCGCAGCGGACGGAATGCAAGAAAAGAAATGTCAGCACTTCGCTAATATTTTCGCTCTCAGGACTGCGCATACGCTGTTGCTGACATAGCTGGTACATTCTATATACCACTGTCACTCCTTGTTCGCTTATTACCCATTTGTGCATTCTTATTCTCAAATGATATAGTTCGTTTGTTAGAGGAATGGTCGACAACTGTTTCATATCATGGACGCTCTTGCAACTTGCAGACTTTCGTATGTATAGAACTGACGTGGGAAAAAATAATTTACACAAGATGAAACATACACCACGTTGTTGGGAAAGCTGGCAACCTACATCATAAATATAATAAAATTGGTGCTAGGGGCAAACAGTAGAAGTCAACTAATGCCGGTTGTCATGAGTCGAAGCAAACAAACGCAGTGCATAGCTTTCGCGACAAGCAAAGCTTCCGTGGTAAGTGAGCCTTTGTCCCTGCACTCTCACCAGAAAAACCATACATATCTCTTGCCACGACTAGATGACAATGATAAATTCACCGGAATACGCATATCGTCCTGCCTCGTGACTTGAAACAGCTCCGTCGCGCGTGTGTGTTTGCGCGTCTGCGTGTCAGGTCGGGGAGGCAGAAAAAGAGAGGAAGAGTGAGCGTGACTGTGCATATGTCATAAGTGAACTATAGTCGGTGACAAGCTAGGAATAAAAATGTTAAGCGTGCCACTATAAATGTTTGTTAGGCGCGTCCAACCAGACCAGCCCATTGCTACATGATGGCTAGGACGAACCAATAAAGAAAAAAAAATCTCATATTTACACGTACACAGTATCATCCTCGCCGGTCATCATTCTATGCAGTTGAAGTTTGTGTGATAGTGCCACGTTTGACGTGCACCAAAGACGCAGCAGCTCGGGGGGTTCGCAACGCCTTGAAGCGTACCATCGTTTCTCCGGCTTGAAGCAGCAACATGGCGGAAGCATGAAAATTAAGGGCGATGCGGCTTTGTAGGTGATGACGATGATCTTTGATGTTTTGTGGCGCAAGGGCCATTTCGTGGCCAAAGAGCGCCGGGATGCGGCCTCGTAGATGGAGCGCATATTTATTTATGTGCTGTTACTGACTATAGCAGTGATATAGTACCGCTTCAATTGCTCCGAATCACTTCGAAGGAGAAGTACTGATCTGTACTGCTCCAAACAGCAGTTTTTGTTAGTAATTGCTCCGAAATGACAGCGCCGAGGCCGATGCGCGCTCGAGCCACCTCCGGGTCCGATTGCCGGCGCCTCAGAGCCGCTTCGGCTTGGTGGGTGACGAAATTATGAAACCCAATGCTGGGACAACCCCTTCGTTACTCACCGGGTACTTCAACATGGACATCATGAACGACGACTGGCTAGTCCAACACATGGTGTCGCGTTACGCTCTCCGGTGCATTTCGTATATATACAATTACAACCATCCTAACACTATCAGAGGAACATGCCTTGACATTGCAGTCTCATTGATTTGATTGATCTGTGGGGTTTAACGTCCCAAAACCACCATATGATTATGAGAGACGCCGTAGTGGAGGGCTCCGGAAATTTTGACCACCTGGGGTTCTTTAACGTGCACCCAAATCTGAGTACACGGGCCTACAACATTTCCGCCTCCATCGAAAATGGAGGACATTGCAGTCTCAAACTTCAAGCAACAACGGTAGCATCAAGAGCCAATAGCAGTATACTTTACGGACCAAGGAGAAACGTTCACCAAAGCAACTAGCTATATATGAAGACTGATCGGTCCATCAATAATAAAAAAAGATTATATATATATATATATATATATATATATATATATATATATATATATATTCTTGAAATTTACATTGATTGCCGTCTGAGAACGATATTTCCTGATAGACAATAATATTTGCGAGATGCTTTGACGATGCTTTGAACTTCAAATGGTGTATCGCAAATTTTTTACATGCTTCTAAAGCAACAATAGCTGCTCTAAACTACCATTTTTCCCGCTTTGAAAACAAGTAAAAAGTCACTTCCATCACTGCCTTTTCGTTCCCTCTATTTTTAATGCTCCGGCATTGCCATAACATTTACAGTCACATTGAAATGCCGCCTTTGCTTCTTTCATCATTAATTACTCTCTTTTGCTTTTTTAAGTGCAAGTTCTTCACCTGCAGAACTTCTCTAGTTAACATCCAAGTCCATTCTGAACATCTTTTTGTCTCTCCTTATGCTCACCACAACCGTTCAATACGACTCCAATTCCCGAGGTACTACGTTCGATTCTCTGTGTGCCGTCGGACAACTTGTGGTTTTTCAATGGTACTTTGACAAGGCGCTCGAAGTTGTGGGTTTCTGAGCCAAAGCTCAAGAAGCTGGCCTCTCCTTTTCGTTCTTATCTCTCATTGCCCTATGTGTAAAGACGCTGCACGGCTGGGGCTTGCTTACGGGTTGCAAAAATAAGCCTCTTTCCTGCTCGCCAAGCCACTATACACAAGACGTTAAGCGTTACTATGTCAATGAAAACGCTGTGCAAGATGAAAAAATTCAAAGCCGAATAGACTTGGTGCGTGAAAAACCTATAACACTATCTCGAACCGCTAAATATGTGTTTGCCAAAGATAGCTTAGGCTTCATATTAAGGATGCAAGTCCAAATCATGATGTCGATGCAAGTACCAGTGAAAGCATGAACGAAAGAGCGAGTTTTAGTTGACCTAGTAACTTATTCGTCCTTCAATTGCGCGTGACAGTGCAGTCGCTTTCAGTATGAATAGCGAAACTTTGGTCGTACGCTTGTTGTTTACAACTGCATGCTCATTGCGGCGTACTACAGATCATTAGGACCACGTGCCGATGAACGTTTCTGCGAAGAGAGAAACTTCTAACGCTGTAACATCGTTAGGGCTGCGACTGTCTGGTCCAGCCAGAGGTATTGGCGGACTACTCAAGCGTGGGCCATCTTTGCAGCACTGGCCAAGGAAAAAGAACTCCACAAGAAAGCCACCGAGTGGTCAAAGTACTACGGAGACCCGTTCACTCTGTGGATGGGCTCCCGACCGATGATCGTGCTCAACAGCTACGAAGTCATCAAGGAAGGACTAGTCGAGAGGCGTCACGATTTCGCCGGCCGTTTTGCAACGAAACTGGGTGAGCGATCTATGGGAGAAGTGTATTGCCGCTGCTACTGCAATTCGTGGTCGTCCGCTGAGTGTATATGCACTAGGCATAGCCAACAGTGTTGTAAAACTGCCGTAACCTGAGTCTACATTGTCAGTTCATGCTTGTGCTTGTGTCTGGTTTTAGTGTCGCTTATCATTTGTTGTTGTTGTTGTTGCGGTGCTTTCCATAAACTGGTTTTGGCTAACGCCGGGTAATGTTTAATGCTTTCCTTTTCCTATATTACCAGGTCATTCCTCAGCTGGTCGCATCAATCTTTCGCCTTTTTTTTTTTGCCAGTAAAATGTGTCATTGCAAGGCTGATTTGCTGTGGTGTTCTGTGATCAGAGTACAAGCATAATCACCAACGGCAATGGTCATCACATTGAGGCGCCGTACAAGAACATTCGTATAGACGAGTATACTTATGTTACGCGCTAGGTGATTGACCCTGTCTATTATCATTTAATTTGTGTTCCCGCCAGGACCGTCATGCATCTAGGATGACTTTCTACAATATCGTGTGTCCAACAGCGCCTTCCTTGTTTTCTTGCTTAAATTTATGGTGATGAAATTGACTTCTGATTAAAGCTCTCTCGAAAAAAAGGTATTTTCTTATTTCTCCACTGTTTACAAATTGAAGGCGAAAACGTGCAAGCTTGCTAAGACAATGTAAGCGCAGTTTACCTTGCTGAATACTTCTATCCTCTCGCGCCGTTAGCTTATGTAATATCAAATCAATATATAAAAGCGATATTATTTTGATTTTCCTAAAGTTGAAATTGCGAGCCCCTGTCAGAAGCGAACTAGCGATCGCAGCTACTATAAAATACACGTCCGCAATGTTGGCATGTTGTAGAAACAAACTGGCTGTTTACGCATTCTTTGCAATGCGAAAATATGTCACACGCATTCCTTTCTTTGCTGTCATCCATGCATCTACGAACGCGGCACCTAAAACTACACAAATTATAAGTATGCATTAGCTTTTTGCATCCTTAACACCAGATGATGCCCGTCGAGCTCTCTCTAGAACTTGTAAGTGCGTTTCTCAAATCAAAGCATTAACTACAAAAGAACAGGTTACACATACTTCATTGTGACAGAATTATTGTCTAGAAAAGCGCACATTGAAAAATACAACAAATAACAAAGATACCAAGACGTTTTTAACCATTCTCAGCTGTTCGCATGTGACCGCCATACGATACCGGTATAAGAAGCACAAAAAGTTGCGCACAAAAGCAAACAACGAAGAGAGCTAAGAGCACATGCTTTACTGGAGTGACTACGCTGTACTGGGACGGAAAAAAAATGAAGAAAGAACAACTATTTGTGTAAAGCTTCGTGCTTTTCTTCACGCCTAGAGGACGGCTCAGTGCTCTTCCATAGTTCAGTACGAAGTACTCGAAATCGTTAAACATTTGTTCTAAACACACTTGTGATAATTGTGCATATTTTTGTGAACGGTACAGGACTACGCGTCCTTCTCATGCAGGTGACATTCAGATACGTGATGACCACGACATCGTATTTGAAGACTACAACGCCACATGGAAAGCTCTTCGCAAGGTAGCTGTCACTGCTGTCAGGTAAGCGACATGTTAAAGAACACATTAGACTCAGTTATCTCTGCTAGCTACATTAACTAGCGATTTAACAACACTGGTCAATGAAAACAGCACTCGTAACCAAATCTTCTGGGTCGCGGAAAAGAAGCGTAGTGACACTTGGAGACCTAGTGTCGGCAAACTGAAAACAAACTTTTATTGAGCGAGCTAGTGTCGACAAACTGAAATTAAACTTTTCTTGAACATTGTGATAATGCATTATGCTTTGTCAAAAATTCAAAAAAAAAGAGCAATGATGAGTGTCAAACGAATTCGCTCGTCCCACCAAGCTAAGTTAGTATTCGATTGAGTGGTTGGAATTTAGAACTACAAGCTTACAACGCATATCAGAAAAACTTGCTTTCCTTTAATTGTGTCTGTCTGAATTCAGAAAGTATGCAGTGAGCGAGTCCTTGGAGAACCTGTGTACAGAGATTGTGGATGCCTACGTGGACTCCCTGGACGACCAACCTCTGACCGTCGACGCCAGGGTTCCTATCATGTCCATTATCATCAACGTGCTCTCTGTATCAGCCTTCAGCGCTAAGTGAGTCGGTTGCAGGCAGCGCCCTGCTTTCCATAATTTTCAACAGTTAACAAGACATGACAGCGCATACAATGAAGCTACTAAGGCAGCAACAAATGTAAGAGCCAATAAGGAGGAGCCGGCTTGACTTTTTTGTGCCAAAATATAATTCTCGACTATAGAAAGTACACCTAGTTGATAACGAGTCCTCACAAAAGAAAATGAGGTGTGACAACATAGACACAGAATAAGAGAACGGAACAACAAAAACACAGTGGGCGTTTCTGTTTTTTTCGTCTTCTTCTCTCGAGTACTTGCTAGCACTCCTAATCATTTTTCGCGATATTTATTTTCAACCTTTCTATAAACAAAAAGAACCCCAAACCAAGGGGACACACCAAGTTTCGACGTCTATCAACAATAACAATTTCTATTTTTCGCTCTTCACACGTACTTTTTCACCCTTCTTTCAAAACATGCATGATCATGATGATGTGTATAATTTACTGCAGTATCGCCTTCATCTAAGGTACTGCCACAGTTTAAAAGATTGAAATCACAAAACTTCTCTCTCATAAATACATTTTCTCATTGATCAGCCGGTTTCAATAATGACATGTCATGCATGATCTGGGGGGTTTAACGTCCCAAAACCACGACATGTCATGCATAGCGATTGGATGATAGTACATTACAAATTTCTTTGGCGCAATACGTTTTGTGAATACGAGCACTCCGTTTTGAACAACAAGAGCGCATGAGCATTGACTTCCGTTGATGATACTATTATTATTATTATTATTATTATTATTATTATTATTATTATTATTATTATTATTATTATTATTATTATTATTATTATTATTATTATTATTATTATTATGCAGGTTTGACGCCAAGAGTCCCGACCTCAATCGCATGATGACCATCAACCGCACTTTCACGGAACTGGCACCCAACGGACTGCCAAGTGACATCGCTCCCTGGCTGGGCGTTTTGTACCGTGCTCGGGAAAAACGGTGCGAGGATTTGTTCGCGGAGATTAGATCCATCGTCAGGAGAATGTACGCTGGAGCCAAGGAGACATACCAGCCAGGTAAGATGGCACGACCCGCCTGCTGTTCCCAAATACCTGATAAGTAGAAACAGGGGCAGTTGCGTTAATGTATACAGTCACAGGGCGACGCTAAAATGTTACACATCACTTTCATGACCAGTCTGTGCATTCACTAACTAGTTGCAGTTCTAGTCCTTTTCTTTTAAAGAAAATATTGCACTAGCTGTTCAAGTAGGTATACTGAACGCAGTGAACGATGTTTCGAATCACAATACAAATAAGAGCGTGAAGACATTCGCGAGTAGGTCAATATAAATAGGTTTTGCAGCATGTACAAAACGAAGCGGCATGCTTATCGAATACCTTCAATGCCTGAATTATGAAACCACCGAGCGAAATAAAAACTGTTTTCATTTTCCACACTCTTAAAAAAGAGCGAGTAAAAAGGGCGTCTTTTTGTCCCACAATAATAATCATCATCTATATTGCGTTCCATCCTTGCGCTATCGCCCCGCGCCCGGTACATTCCGGTCACGATCGACATGCCCATTATCAGGGCTACATTGCATTCTCGATAGGAAAGTAGCCATCGCTGAGTTTTCAAGAAAGGAAGCGCACGCTAGCCTGATGACGATTATTGTTGTGGGACAAAAAGACACCCTTTTTACTCGATATTTTTTAGAGTGCAGCTTTAAGTAGGAACCTTTAAATGATTTCGCATTTAAATTAGCTGAAATTCAACAATAATGCATACTTTTACGTATGTCGCGAATTATCCACATGACACAAAAGCGAGGACCTTGCAACAAAAAAAAACGTACTTCAGAACTGCGTAACATGTTGTGTTCCATCTTTTGAGTGCGCACACAACAAATAAACAAAATCATTGAAGATAGGACTTACGTCACCAAGGTGAGAAAATAAAAACCGAAGAAGTGAGAGTTGTTGCACGCGCTTCGCGCTGTCCTCCATGATCTCCAAAAGAATTGGATCTAGCTTAAAGCATCTTACACGCGACTGCGCTGGATTTTTCATGTTGAAAACTACATGCGCCGCGAGTACTTGGCGGCTGGCAATAAAGCTGACACGCATTTGGTGGCTTACTTGCTCGAAATTTTTCGGTATGTCATGAATTCGCGAGATCTAGCAGTAACGCGTTCTACAACTTCGTGCCACTTTTTTTTTTGGGGGGGGGGGGGGGGATGTTGTAACAAACAATAAACAGGAAATACATGTATAAATAAATACAAATAAACGTTCAAATGGTTATGCTGGAGTTGGGAGAAAGAGAGAGAGAAGTTTTATATGGAAGAAACCGGATATGTTACCCCTCTGTTCTCGGTCTCTAACACGGGGATTAGTACTGATACATGAGGATGAGGAGATCATTCAGTTCGCAGTTTACACAGGCATACGCACACAAGAAGCGTTCATCGACCAATTCGTCCCAGGCGGTCACCTCAAGGAGAACGGCAACGCTTTTACAGCATTTTACATCACAGGCGCGCGAGACCACTATCCCAAAATCCTTTAGAAGCGCAAATTTTTCACCTTACTGCTCTAATGCATTAACATCGATGCCTACTTCCAGTAGAAGGCGTCCGCGCACATTTCTTTTTTTTTGTAATATTTTCTTGACTTCTTTGCTTTTTTTTTACTTGCGTCAAGTTCTCTTTGCTTCAGTCTTCATTCATTGTAATTTCTTCGCTGTATTTCTTGTTCTGAAATTTTTGCTTTTTCGAGTATTTACTTGGGTCTCCGTATGTACCCTTTTATGTAACTTTTTTTTATTTTATGGTTCCCGACCATGAAAGGTGCACAAGTACTTTCCTATTGTACTGCTGCAATTCTACTTCACTCGGTCAGCTGAGACATTCCACACGATTAATACAAATATCTACAACCTCATCTTAGTTTTCTACTCTACATTTCTCAACTAAAAACTCAGTCTTATTTACACGTGTCATACATTAGTAAATAACATTTCGAAACAATTCAATTACATTTTTCTTTCAATAATGTTGCATATTACAACCAATTTTATATTTCAGGCAAGGTATTGAATTTCACCCATGCCATTCTGTCTGCTAGAGATGAAGCCCTGGAACAAGAGAAAAACGATGCCAAGTTTTTGACAGAAGGCAACATGGTTCAGATTCTGATCGACTTATTCGGAGGTGAGAGATTGAATTATTTCGTCGAACAGTGCCACTCAGTTAGAATAGCACTTTTCTCGAACTCTTGAGCTTATCGACACTTGTGTAAATATAAACGTGTTCGGGAAAATGCATCAGCAAGAATACTCGACCAAAACAAAGTCGAACAAACTAAAACGCTGACTACAGCCCTGCATTTTGTTAACTATTCAAGCACTAGGACACTTGATTAGAGCTTAATGTCAGGCAGAGAAGCATACTTTTGTGTCTTGAAATATGCAGTATAGTTCATACGTATAGATGCAGTCAACTTCCCTTTAAAATTGCCTAACATCATTCATGGTGCGCAATGTGCGGGGGCTGTTATTCGTCCGCTTCAATGAACTATTTGTGTCGAATTCTTCGTAATATGCCAATATTGTACATGGACATGTAAATGTGGTGAGTTTAAACCAATGTCCACGGCGCGCGAAAAGTATAAATAGTATTTTCGTCACATACGTTCCGCGATGCTCCATGCATGGTGAAAGTACAGACCAAAATTCAGTACAGACTAATGGGCTTACGTCATGGCGCAAGTTTCGAATAAGATTTCCCCGCCAAATTTATGTCGGTACCATCAAGCAAAAATGGATGCTATATTTAAAGTCATTAACTCAAAGAGTAGTCACCACGTCTTCGCGTTCTTATTCACATTTTTCAGCTGGTACTGACACATCGATTGGGGAGCTGCAATGGCTTCTTCTCAAGATATCTCGAGAGCCAAGCATTCAAGATAAGATAAGAAAAGAAATCGACGACAATATAGGTAATGTGTGTTCAAAGGTAACCTCGTATACATTATGGTGTCATGTGACTTGCAAAGCGTTGACATCAGAAAGTAGCCCAACTGAAGAGAACTGTGACGATGCGTCGCAGGGCTTACCTACTGACCTCGTAAGTCCGCATGCTATTCTTGCTAACAGAGTTGCCATTTGTGGCATCGGGTAACAGAATTGAAACTTTACTTTTTTTCACGCATGTATGCGTGAAAAAGCGTAAAGTTTCAATTCTGTTTGAACATTATATTGTTTGCCCCTTCTAAATGTTTTTGTTTTCCTCTGAGCCTGAACATGGCCGTCTGACGTCAACTTCTACATCAGATGGGGATGGTCTGTCTCGGGCATCCAGCATAATATCAATCCCGGAGAAACAGAATTTCAACATAGCATTGTTGAAGTAGAAAAAAGACAAAAGCCGAATTGACCACACGCAAAGCTGGTTCACCAGAATTCCTATTCTGTTTGTCACCACGTACATTTACAATATTGAGGCTTGTCCTAACAGGTCAGTGCGGGTTCCCACATGGTTTGACTGACGAAGTATGTCGTGAAACCAATTACATAACCATTGATCGTCTGAAGCACTGCCTGTATGAATGTATACGTTAATCAGAAAGTCATGGTGCTAGTGCTCAGCGTTCCACACCAGTCGTCTGTACCATGTAGTCGAGTGTTACAGAAAATGTCAAAAGTGATCCCCGTGTTCGGCACATGCGTTTTTCTTGTCCGGGCAATGCACCTATACTTGCGTTCAACCAATCCCAGCAACTACTGAGTTCACACACTCAACTGCGCTGCAATAACTTCTCGTTTCACACGCAGGTCAGTCTCCGCCGACGATGAAGGACATCGAGAGGCTGCCATACACCATGGCCTGCAGTCATGGAGACACTTCGTTGTTACCCGATCGCAGCCTTTCGGCTTGCCAGCATAAGGCGTCACATGAATCGGTGATCGGTAAGACAAAAAAATCACAGCATATCCACAGACTGAATGTTGATGAGTGGGGCGAAGCGTCCATCCGTCCATTCGTACATCCAGTCCGCCTGTCCAACCGTGGGTTGATCTGTCCGTCCGTGCGTCCGTCTGTGTGTACGTTCGTCCATCTAGTGAGCACTTTAAGTACCACCATTTCGCATACTTTCACTACATTCTATACAAGTACCACCATCTAGCGGACATTCCATGAACTATACTCTCCTTTGGCACATACCCGATAGAGGTGGTTACTACAGAGGACCATCGGGTGACGCCTTAATGAGCTGCGCCCCTAAAAAAAAGCGTTGACGAGTAAATTTGATTTTGATTGCATGGAGAAAAAACATGATTAAATGGACCTCATACACGCAGAAACTTTCATGTCTTAAACTAGGAATTATTCTCCTCTCTTAGCAATGGAAAGCCTACTGCCGGACAAAGGCATTTTTATTCCCCTTCTTTTCATCTTCAAATTTTGTAGATAATGATACGCCCAAGTATGTGATAACGAGATGTCAAAAAAGGCGACGCTACTGAGCAAAAGTATTTTCCAACTTACACCGATTGCAAATAATGTCCACCCTGTGACACATCTCGGCATTGCATTTATTTTTTATCCTTTTTTTATCTCTTCATGCCTTTTACCCAAAGCACGTGTTTTGGCGCAAGTGTTTTGTAATGGTCTTGTCTTTCGTTCGTTTCTTTGTCCTCCTTCTCTTGACATTTATTTGTCATATCGACATTACGTTTACTTTTACTGGTTTCTTTGAGTCTAATTTTCTTATATCGTATATGGGTGGCACGGCCCAGTCAGGCAATCTTCGCTTTTAGCCGTGTGTTCTTGGACAATTACAATGTTGTTGAAAATAAAATAATAAAGAAAGAAAGAAAAAAAGATATTCAGTAGGTATTTCACATAATCTCCCTAAGGGACAAGACCAAGCTTCGTTCTTTCATAGGGAGTGCCTATTGTCCTCGGGAGGTTCGATGCATACAGGTAGCATTCGAAGGCTGATACGTTAGCTGTCAACTCGTAAAAAGATCATGTTTTCCATGATTCCGGCTGACAAAAAGGAGTGTTTTACACTCGCCACCATGGCTACAAGAGACGCTGGTTAAAGTATTCAAGGTTACACTTCTAGATGTATCAAGAAAGTTGGTGTCGTAACGACGGATACGATTATGAAAGGTGTTGTAGTGGAGGTCTCTGGCCATGTTGAACATCTGGTGTTCTTCAGCATGCACCTAAATTTGAGTGGATGAGTCTATAGCACCAAGCCTCAATTGAAATACGACCACCGCGGCAGGGATTGATTGAAAGGGGAGATAAAAAAGAAAGAGGAAAGGGGCACTAGTCATGCGAACCAGACAGAACACATTCCCGAAATCTACGAGCATTGGTCGCAGAAAACTGCCCACTTTAAGCATGCCTGTAACATCACTCTTGTTTTTTTGTGGCATCTACGTACACGGTCTAGAAATGCTGGCTTCTGGCGTCCAGCCAGTTTAGTGAAACGCCCGCTATTTCGCTTGCACTACAAGACGCATTTCCTTTCTTTCCAGCTGGTATTGCAATTCCCAAAGACACACGATTGATGTACAACGCGTACAGCGTCAACCACGATCCCAAGCTCTGGGTGGACCACGACGTGTTCAGGCCGGAGCGGTTCTTGAATCCAGTCACGGGAACGCTTTGTCCAAGGACCGCCTGCCCCCGTTCCTCAGCTTTGGCCTCGGACCTCGATCATGTCTCGGGGAGAAGCTGGCAAAGGCTGACATGTTCTACGTAATCGTGCGGCTAGTGCAGCGGCTCAGTATTTCAGCGCCCGAAGGCGAGACCGGCCGAGAAGTCGTGCCCATGGGAAACAGTTTCTTCCTCTTCGCGGGTCGCCAGAACGTCGTTCTCACCAAGAATTGTTGAAGGCTATATATATCTTGTCAAAGGGTGGTGTAACACGTTGAACTCGGTGGTGATCTGCAGTCGTATTCCTGTGTTCCGATAAGAAGAAGTGCCACGAAAAAAATTTGCCCCATATCTACATGTTTCATTGCAAAGTACGCTGAGAGGCAGGCGAGGATAGGAGAGGCTGGCGAGGGTGACACTGAAGTACTCCCGCCTACAGAGAGGCGGGTGAAGGCGACATCGAGGCACTCTACTAACTCTACACTGCGTTGCGTACGTGGATGGATGCTATGAGCATAGACGTACGCAGGGTTCCCTTTTCAGGCTGGAAGAGGAGCAAAGGTTTATCTCAGCGCCCACCCCTCCCTACTATGTCAATATACCGGGCTCATTTTGCGCCCCCCCCCTCCCCACTTTGGCATCGCAGCGCCCCCTCCCTATTATGTCAATGTATAAGGCTGACTTTGTGCCCCCCTCTCAGGTGATTGGGGGGCAGCCCTGCCTCCCCTGTGCGCACGCCTATAGCTATGAGCGTCCCCTTTATAACGAGGGGGTGACATGTGAACCACCAGGCTCGAAGGAAAGAAAATAAAACCTTTCTTTTTATGTTGTTCTAATGCCTTATCTACTTGGAATAAATCGATCATATCATAACAAAAGTATAAATTCACGGTTTATCTCTCTGCCTCTGCAGGCAGAATGACCTCATTTTTCCACTAGTTGTGTCCTTTATTTCTACTTTTCTGCCACCAATACTCCAACCGTATCTTACTTGCTTCTATCGCGGACGTGTTCAGGTTTCCATGATAGTCCCTAAAACCCGATGCCTCATGTAGACTCGTACCCGCACGTATACCTGGGTGGATATCGCCCCATTCAATCAGAACATGTGTCATCGTTTCCTTGGCTTCCCCGCAGCATGCACATTGTTTTCCTTTATTGAATCTCGCTTTATAACTAGGCGTTCAAAAGCAACCCGACCTCGCTTCGAACAGTGAAGCGCTTCCCCTTAAATTATCACAAAACCTGTCCCTCCTTATTTCGTGTTTGCCCTTGCCGTAGTTACTGAGAGCCGTCTTCTTTCCATCGCTGTCATCCGATAAGCGCTCTCCGTCTCTCTGACTTCTCGCTTGATGCTCCTTGCTGCCATATCGCCCGCGCTGCCAGCCACATGTTTACTGGTGAGCCTCTCACTTCATCTCCCACCTCTTTGTGTCCACGCTCATCCTATACAAATACCTGAACACGAAAATACAAATGCCTATATCAATACCTGAACAAGAAGAGCTGGCACTGAAGTACCACCAAATGGTGTATGCAGATTGAGATTTTCCTTCACCTTCTCACCTTCTTTTTTTATAATCTTTCGTCTTTTATCTTTCTTCATCCTTTTCTATATCTTTCTTGCTGTTTATTCTTCCATTCATGTTCCTTTTTTATACCTCTGTATAATGTCCTTCCTCCTCCTCTTCCTCCTCGTGAACTTCGCATCACTCCTTCTCAACCTCCCTTCTCTTTCAGCCACTTGGCATGCTATAATATACAGTACATTGTTATGCAATGTTAACCTTCTCACCTCATTTCCCTCCTCCTCTACCTAAAACCAGTCCTTTTCATCCTTACTTTACCTTCCATTCCCTTTATAGCAATGGTGTACCGTTTTTATATATATTTGGCAAAATGTGAGAATGTAGGCTACGTTAGAGCCGGCTATCTCAACATCATGACAGTAGTGCGAAAAATAAACACACAAACACGAAAATTTAGGAATAAAAGAAGAAAACCTAATCAGAGGCACTATGTGCATGCTATATACACGATAGGGCTTATAACGCATCAATGAGCACAGTATGTATGGATATAGTCCAGTTAATATATGGGGATCACATTGCAAATGGAGTCTGTACGAATAGTGGCAAGGTATATAACATGCACTAACGACAGTTAACTAAATTTGTGTCCTTTAAAAAGTCAGAGAGGACACTCGCTGCGCACCATTGATTATCGGAATGTGGCCATGGTCCAAGTACTTGTCCAATCGTATACATGGTCGTCTGTCGTGTTGGTTTAAGCGTTCACTTAGTTCGGCACGATTTTCATCATATTGCAGACAACCTATAAGGATACGTTTGTCTGACGCATCAGCATGATCACAGTGGTCGCAGTGCGGGGACGTTCTTCTTTTTCATGTGGCATAGGAGGTGAGATGTGCAGTGCAACACCTATAGACGTAGATCGTGCAGTAATGTGTCAAATGGTCTATCGATCTTTCAATGAGGTTGAAATCGGAGAAACGGTAATATTAGATATAAATAAGAGTGAATACTTTGTATTTTCGTCAACCCAAGCGTACGTACACAATTTGTGGTGCAGTTCGGAAAAAAACCTTCCTGTTTTCTGAGAAATGAACGGGAGCTGGTGTCAAATGAAATTTTTGGTGCTGCAGTAGCCAATTTGTCAGCGATTTTATTTCCTATCACTCCTATAGGTGAACTGGAAGCTTCTGAAGACATATCTCGTGGCCATCCAGATAACCGATGGTAATTATTTTTGAGATTTTCTGTAATATACTACCATTATTATGAAAATAAAAACCTTAAAGGAGCACTGACATCAAATTTCAAGAACGACATGTGCCCATCATTCGATCGCTTGGTATGCATAGGTCTCGTCTAAATTTGAACGGAATTCGTCGCGTGGAAGTTATTTTAACTCGATGTCAAACAGCGTAGAAAATCAAAGGAGAAAAAACGGAAAGTAGACTGTCCTGCGACATCGACACTAGTGCTACGTGTTCGGTGTGATACATTCCACAAATACCATCCTGAGTGACGAAGCCCTAGTAGCGATGACGTGTACAATCCAAGTGTTCTTATCGTGGCGCCGACTGGCGCCGAAGCGCAGAAACGCACCCGCTCGTCGCGTCTGAGCTCCGTCGCACCTGTTTGAATGATTTCGTGAAATTGTCAAGATAAAAACCACCTTTAAAAGAAAGGCGAAAGAAAAGAGCATGATTAAACGTGTGCTTGTCGGTCAGCATGTCGGCGAATCATTGTGAGTTGCAGTCGTCTAGTTCGAAGCACGGCAAAAGCGCTATGAGGATGTCCTTTCATATCACGTATGTGTTACACATCAACACGACCATAAGCTATCAAAACTGGAACAGCGTATAGTCAGATATAATCGCTAACAAGTAAGACGCAGGTATAGTTCAATTTTAGTTCATCTGTAAACTTTGCGTCCACGTAAAAGTGTCAATACTGTGTTGACCGCGAAAGGCTGGATAGCGGGGGGGGGGGGGGGGGAATCTGAAGGTGCAAAAAAGAACCTGGCAAGCAGGAAACGTATTTTATTTCTCTGCTGATGCTCATTCACGATAGCTAAATTGCATTTAACCCTCTGCGTGTACCTGAATGCAAACATGACTGAAGCATGCGACCATTTCGGAATCACTATTCTGCAAAAGGTCGATCGAAGCGAAGATAATTCGCGACGTCTCGCATCGCAAGAATTCCAAGCTCCAGACTATCGTATTGAACCCGAGTCGACACTTTGTAAGGTGACGACAGCAATGCAGGTGACAAGGTAAGACTGAATGTGTCCGCCTAGCAGACGAAATGTGCGAAGAAGCTGAATCTGACGTCACTCTTTTCTGTGGAGAAGTGGTCAGCTGTGGCGTGATCTGGAGGTGACCGCGAGGTAGCGCCACTGCTGGTGCTGCCAGAGCTAAAAATGGCGAGATTGCCAGCCGTTTTGAATGGTACTAGATACCACTGATATAAATAAATAAAAGTGATAGTTATTCATCCTTCAGTTGCGTTTTAGGTCGCGAATCGGTGCTACGGGGCCTATAGCTACTCGCTGACGCAAAAATCTTGGCATGAGTAAATTTGATTTCAGTGCTCCTTCAAGTATTTGTAAGGCTCTTTTGGAGTCATATTTATGACTCCCCACCCAGTTTTGCTTTTGTAGGCTTTCAACAATGAATATTTGAAGCTTCTAATATTACAACAAGCTCCGCTGCTGTTTACAATGTCTTTCGAGCAAGTCTGATTTTTTTTCTGTTTTATATGCAGGTATATGAAAAGGCGCAGTCGAGCTTTCATTCATTCCAGATCCATCCATGAAAACAAACGTGAAATGGTCTTGGTAAATGCACATTCGTTGAAACATTAGAATTTCGGCCTTAAAGTAGTGTGTCGAGGAGTTTTTTCTATCCCTTTGATGTCTAAAGTGACTGGAGGTGATGTAAGCTGCCAAGAAGGAAAATTGATATTGGGCGACGGATATTGCTCTTGTTGAAATGCCACCTGGTATGCGCACAATGTGTCACCAATTCGCCCGTTTCTTTGAATAAGTTTTCACGAAGTGGATGAGCAGAATGCCTTTTGCGATAAGCGGAGAAAGCGGCGGCAGAGGTATTGAATGCGAAGAACGTGAAGCGGCGGATTTCTCGCTTCTGCGATTACGAGGAAACTGTGAGTTGAGCGTAGTAAGCCTAGACAAATTTGAAGACTGTGGGCTACGATGTTGATTAGCTTACGCTCATTTGTCTGAGACATGCTTTGCATCGCTGGCAATGCATATGCGATAGCTTGTCGAACAAGAGTTCTATGAACCTTCAGACGTGCGCCAGGCCATGCTTTGCCTTACGCTCTCCCCCACCCCTTTTTTGCCTGCTCTCAGTTTTCTTTACTTGTTAGCCTTACATACTTACACCTTTTTTAACAGTGAAAAGTTAGCCTTCCGATTCCCGGGAGCGCAAATTGAGTTACAGGCATGATGAGACGTTTTAAAGGCACGTGACATATGTATCCATACTTTTCGTGTTTTTATTTTAATATTCAAGCGGATCTTCATGCTTAGACGGTGTTCGTCCCAGTGACAACAAAATGCCTCGAGCGGATATTGTAGTGACGGTGACGATTGAGTGATCTCGCTTCATGAATAATGCTTACCAGCCACGATTTAAAAACTTGAATTTTCGAGAAAAAAGCTTGCAAATAAAATTTGTAGGTAATCTATTGTCGTGTTGTTGTCAGCTAGATATGCATATATATATATATATATATATATATATATATATATATATATATATATATAATATATATATATATATATATATATATATA